ATAGATCTTCGGTTTGTAAAGGTATAACTCACACTTCGGTTACAGGCAGCACAATGCGACAAAAAAACAGATTGTCTCCGAGACATGTTTATGTTAGGCGGCGGTTGTTGGTCTAAAACGATAGTGACAGCAAAATATAACTTGTGTAATTAGCGGTAACTCAGCATCTTATACGATGGCTTAACCCACAGATCTATAGCAACTCAAAACGTCCACAAACAGTTCAAAAACTGTATAAAATCTCTCGATAGCAAACTTTTTGTACAATAAGTCATGAATGCGCCTTTCCCATCTTCTTTATTCAAGACGATGAGAAGGCTGGGGCCACGTACCTGCTGATGCTATCGTAGGTAAAGCGAGAAGGACTTTCAAAATGAAAAAGTGAGAAATTATCTCGAACTGCTAGAGACTTCTCTCAGTGATATGATGCGGTAAGATCAGTTATCAAGCAAATTAAGACTTAAAGGTAAAGACGGTTGTTACGTGATGTTAAGGGAACTAAGGAATTATTTACGAAGCTGTCTTTGTCTGTTTTGGTCACAGGTGCGATTTTTCTGTCAATCCTTCAAATTAGCAGGGTAAAATAAAAGTCAAAGACAATAAATGAATTAACAATTGATGACTAAGTTTCACGTGTCACGTGCATGGTCAATTTCGCGAGAGTAGACTGAGACTTCTCGGATTATGCCTCATCCATTTTTGCAAAATTACGAACGCGTAAAATTGGAACTGGACAGTTAAGAGACGTTACTAAAATATTATTAATATTGGCAGAATCTGAAAGTAGTTAATGACCCAAATGTTGCATTTTTAGGCTAAATCAGTTGGTTGAACACAGGTGTAGTTGTTGACAAGGATAAATATGGGCTTAATCGTCTTCAAACGTTGAATACCGTTGAATACCGTTCACCTTTCCAAAAAATTATTCCGAAATAAGAAAAAAATGACTCTAACTTATGTCAGAATAAAAATAACGAGGCTTTATGGAAAATAGAGGGTTTCACTTACTTTGCCGGATTTTGTTGCTGAGACGTAAAAGGTGTATTAATATTTTTTCTTTTTTGAACAAAAAGATGTCATGATGCGTGTAAATTTAGAGCAATAGCAACTCCGGAATGCTGATGTCTAGAACAATTAGCTTGAAAATCTTTTAAGGCTATTTTCTCTTGAAGATATCTTTTCAAGTATGACTCTAATTCTGCCAATAGATTAATTACAATTTTTATATTATCAGTCTCCTTTCTGTTCTGGCCGATCTCAATCGTGAAAATAAGAAAATTAAGGTAGAAAATGATTTTGTAACTGCGTAAACAACTCGAAGGCGCATACTCAGTACGCAGGATCTGTCGCACGTAATTTAACGCGATTCGCTGGTTGAGATAGAATGATGACGATGCAAGTAGATTGACAGCTTAGTAGTGTCACCTTTGGTGTCACCTTTTACGCTGGTGCATAACTTTTCCAATCAGATCAGAACAAATTTGAATTGTATAAAGCTGAGTCAAAACTAAGCTAGTCCCAAGAAGAAGGAAATTGTATTAAGAGTTCAAGTCGAAAAATAAAGAAGTACTGTTTGGGTGTTAGAGAAAAATCCTCTAACAAAGGGTAACACTTTGCATCTTATTAACAAGTTTCTTCGTTCAAAAGTTAACATTCCAGTGTTTTTAGCCAGGAGACCTGTTAAGGAAAGAGCCAAGGACGAAATGGGACTTTCTTCCTCCACGTAGGCCCCTTGTGTAACTGCACGATAGGAAGAATCGTCTCTTTTTATTTATCTCTGTAGTTCTACCGTTTTAACAAACTTTGTATTTCTGTTCCATTCTTTATCAATATTTTGTAGTCAGAGTAAACTTGAAACTAATGTACATGAATTTCGTTACATAACAACAAAATCAACAGAAAATTCAGAGAAGAATAGGCGCTCGCGAGTATCGCCCCTAGAAATACCGCGTGGTCTTATCTAATTTAAAATTCAGTGCGGAGATGAAAAGGCATAAGCTGTTTACACTCAGGGTCACCTTTAAGAAAGAGGTGTAGAAAGTGTTAAATTAAAATTTAAGAAATATGCCTGTATCGTGAATTTGACATAGAATTTGACCCAAAAAAAAAAACACCAGTTTGAGAATAGTCAAAAGTATAACAAGTAGAAATTTCCAGGAATTCCTGTGTGAGGTTAACTTTTACCAGAAAGATTTACTCTCTTTCTTAACTAGCAAATTGACATAATTAAAAACATAGCTTACCACAAAATACTATAACAAGTTCTAATCACCGCAAAAACTGAACATCTGCTTCCATGCCAAATTCACAACCCCGATAAGAAAAAGGTGAAAGAAATTGTACTTAGATGAGACCGTCAAAAGGAATAAGAAATAAGGCACGCTCTGCTGACCTGCCCGCTAAGCAAAATTATTCCGAAGAAAAAAGAGACAAAATACAACCTCAGAAACAGAACTGTCCCTTATCCTGGAATAAATTCGGGAATGTTTAAGAATGTGTTTGTAAATAGACCAGTTTTTAAATATAATTTTTTAGATTATCATTTGTCTAGTTATATTTAATGATTCTTAGATTATCTTTTGCATATTTTTTGCGTGATTCTTTAATATTGTAACTTTAGATATGTACTTTTATCAAGAGAGAATAAAGATTATAATTATTATTATTATTAAATAATGAACCTGCTTACTATAATTTTTTTGCGTCGAATGGCATAAAATAATGAAAACTCTCGGCTAGATTTCCATTTTGTCTTTAACAAATTACATACAGTAGTAAGTTGAGTTATATAAGCACTCTGATTGCTTCTCACTAATAATCGATTTATTATTATGATGATGATAATTATTGTTATTATTATTATTGTTTATTGAGGTCGTCTGCGATCTATTAAAGAACTAACGCAAGGCAGCATGGAATGTATTTGCTAACAAGGATCGTTTTCATTGAGACAATTCCGTGAAAATGCTGTATTAGAAATGTATCAAAGTTTCTTAATCTAAGGAATGGATTCTTCAGCCTCCTTTTGTGGCAGTCACCAATTAAAATGACAGGGCTTAATATTTAGATTTAACTAAAGATATTCGACAGTCCGCTGAATCCAAGTTCAGTTACTTTTTAAGTCCTCTCCACCCAGTAATTATCATTGAGTTAACACAGGTTGACAACATAGCGCCTCGCCAAAGTCTCTTTTACACAGTTGCGAAACCTCCTGTTGAAAACTACATAAATTATGGGATTAATGGCGCCATTTAAGAAAAGCATCGAAAGAGAAATGAAACGAAGGTGTGGATTTTCACTGAAGACTACAAAGAAGTCAAGTGCAATAGACAATTGCAGGGTTAGAATTGGCAAAGAACATGTATAAAATGCGACTAACAGAGTTATTAACATCTTGAAAATCTCTCGATTTCGCTTCTCTCTCAATTCTCGAGCTCTTTCACTTGCGTTGCTGGGGAATTTTCGACGCCAAACCTTGAATCCGATCGCTGCGTACAAAACGAGCATAGCAAGAAGGGTCGTGACTAGAATTAAGGCAAAACCTGCGTACGAAATTCGTTTGACTAGCATATTCTTGAGATTACACCTTGTGATGCTATCGTTGCTGATGAAATCCGCGAAATAGAACATCGGCGAAGCAAAGAGAGCTGGTACGAGCCATGTCAGAAAAATAATAAAGAAGCAGGCCTTCTTCGTGATAATTTTTCTGAAAGGAAAATACACCACACAAAGGCGATAAATTGCGATTGCCAAGATTGTCAGGTTCGCAGTTACCATGGTGATGACAGAAAAGAAAATATCCATCTTACAAAGTACTGTTCCAAAGCTCCCTTGTAGAATCCAGTGGCCGTTCAGCACAAGATGATTATACGCATGCGGGATATTTTGAATAGCGAAGAATATATCTGCCACAGAAATATTGGCAATAAATAAGCTGTTGGCATTCCTCATATGACTTCGTTTAAAGTTCTTTTTCACAACGAGTACAACCATAGCGTTTTCAAGCAGAGACACTGCAAGAACAAACATGCAAACTGTGGCTTTTGCCATGGCTTCGGTTTTTCTTTCATAAAGGGGCGATGAATTGCTAGCGTTTTCCATTTGCAAGAAATATATGATAAAAGCTTTTCTGCTCGTCGATGCTAGGTCAGTAAACGAGATTTGGTCAGGACTTAAAGGGTGCAAGCGCATAAAAACCCCTTTTAAGGGCACCTGCGGCTGTCTAAATATTAATTTACGTAACTGAAAAGTCACTACTGCGTGTTCACTTTATTTCCATAAGTTCTATAACACAAGGGAAGGACAGCCATTGTTTTTACGCAGAAGCGAATATTGATCTGGAGTAGCAGTCGCTCTAAAATGAGACTTTCTTTTGTTCGAGGTTCAGTTAATTAAGGGTACGTCAGAAAAGACAATAACTGCACACTGAACAGGAAGAAACTTAACCCGGCGCTTTGTATGACATGCTCTTCAGGAAAAATATAGAAAATTTACTGCGGACAGCATATTTTATCAGTGATAATGATAGAAATAGGAATTGGGAGGTTCTAAAGGATTGAAACCTTTTCTCGTATGGACGTGATCCAATGCAAGCTTTCCCGTTTGATGAGCTGCCACGTGTGACGTGTGTTCGCAGTTAATTATTTTTCATATTTATGGTTGGCGATATTACAAGGCAGGTTACAAAATTGAGGAGTAATTTTGTCTTATAACCTATTTTAGGCCACAGGAAGCTGGAAGAATATTTGAAGAAACATAGCGTGATACTTTCAGGAGCAACTTTCGGTGGTATGGTTAAAATTCAAGTCCAAGTTAATTTTAAAAGAAGACACTTGGAACAAAATGCATTAATCGACCAAAAAAAAAAAGAGGAAAATATTAAAATGACTAGAAAAGACTTCTCGATAACGGTAGAGTTTGCAGCTTGAATCTTAAGAAAAACGGAAGCTGGAGGGGCTAACGAATGTACGTACGTACTAACACAAGATAATCATTTTTCTTGAGAGCATAATTATTGCATGCAGAAACTCAGGGAAAAAAAAAGAAAAGATAATTACAGCGTACATGCACTAAACAGTGAATACTAATAAAGGCTTTACGATGAAATAATTTCAAACTGGAGGATCTGACGGACACTGAATATCAGATGAATCGCAGCTGCTGTTAAGAGCAGAATTCTGTACTCGAGAGGGATTTCACACTGCCTTTGGAAGGTTGTTTTTAGGTAGCATTTCTAGCTAGACACCGGACACAGGTAACGCTTCCAGATGTAATCTACAAGTGCTTTTTACAATTGATAACATCAACTTCACCACCGTTTGCCTTTATTGTCATATCTTTCGGAAGGTAGTTGGGGAAAAGTCCTTTTAGAGGAAGTTTTGTACTTACGAATGTGATACCAACAGCACGTAACAGGAACAAGTCTGCCCTTTTGACCTTGCACACAATCATTGAAGATGAAAATCCTCGCAAGATAGCATCAAAATACACACATAAAATTAAATGGAGAAAAGCCGTATTAGATAAACTTTTGCTCCTAGAAATGTGATAAAGCACGTAATCAGAACATTTCTACCCCTTTGAATTCGAACAGAATCATTTAAGGTGAAATTCCTCCCAAGATTGCATCTAAAAGCCCAAATCATAATGATTTATTATGAACTGAATCATTAAAACAAAGCAGTAAATAGATTTCAACATAACGTACTTGCTCAAAAGTTTAAATTCAAATGATCAAATTGGGTTTGTCAGCTGACCTAAGAAAAACTGTCTGTAACTGCCTTTAATTTAACTAACCATCTATCTTCAGTTGACGGATGAATCAGTTATTAAAAAAAGGAAATATTTCTTTTCAAGATTCCCCTTTTTAAAAACATTTAACATAATGTAATGCAGTTTCGCCCTCTGACGCTTTTATAAGAACACTTCTTTCCGGCCTTTTCTACAAGATTTCTATTCTGCTGAAATGATCGATTTTGTCGCTAAGCTAAATGATAAAGATCGACGGATAAAAAAGATGGAAATCACTTGGAAATAGCTTAAGAGCTCAAACCTCGTACTAATTTGAAAGAACTGAAGATGTCGACTAAAATAAATACCAGTTTTTAATTATCATGATCATTCTTACATGTTTTAATTTTTCATTTTTATGTGAACATAAATCATTGACATCGGCAGGTATGTCAACAACTTAAGGCTAGTTCTGAGCATAAATAATAGCAAAAAATCTTAAACTTATCTAAGTTAACTAGTTACAATTTTTTTTTCGGGTGGTCTAGTTAGTCCTCATATCTAGAAAACGAGTTTCTGTACAAACTAAAACCATTTTGACCAGAACCTTCCAATCACTCCTTAGCGCTGACCGAAAGGATCGCAGCTCCAGAAGCAAAATTACAAATTAAAAACACCTCGTTAAAGGCGTCTCCGCGTACAGAATTTGTTTTTCATAGAGGAGGGGGCACGAGAGATTCGACATGACAGAGTTTGTATTTGAACAATTCTTAGGGATGTCATAACGTAGGGCATCTTATAATTTTTCATCTCATCTCACACTTACTTGGTTTTATGCAGTTTTTGTTATTTAGTGAAGCTTAAATAATCCGCGGAAATGACAATTCAAGGTTAGCCTGTTTTCATTTTAATCAATTCTAACTTCTGATCCATTAATTCACCTACATATATATGGACAATATTGCGAATAGAGATTAAGGTTACGACAAGAAATGTCTGTGAAAAGTTTGACCACTGAATCGGAAATAACTTGAAGCATTTCATCTTTGCTTGATAATTGAAACAAGATAAATTAGCTGGCGAACCCCTAATTTCGGTGCACTATGATTCGAACCTTAATAACTTGAGTAATATTGCATTTTTCATGTTGTATGTACGTAGAGTTAGCATTTATAAGCGCGAGTCTTCACATGGAGTACTGCTGTAAACATAGGGCAAGTTTCTTTCAGTACTAAACTCCTTTTTGCCATTGTCTTGCCTTCTGTTGCTACATGATTGTAATATGATCGCTGAACTGGGTGATTTGCATGTAAATAAAGACTTGAATTCAAGGCGAATATCCGAGTTAAATATAGTATATATAACTGGATTTATTGCTCCATTACAAAGCATTAAGAACGCTGAAATTTTACTATAATACGAACCAAGTTTTGTGCTGAAGTTGAAGTGAAGAGAAAGCTGATAAATCCAAAATGGAATAAAAGAAATATAAAATACTAAAACTAAAGTCGCCAGAAGTTTCAAGGCTTTATTTTTCTTGGCTGGCTTCCTTCGCTGAACTTCGTAAAGTTGAATCCCCGGAACTGTTCGTAGCCATATCTTGATCAAAATAGCGGAGTAAAGAGTGAGTGTGACAATAAACCCGGCTGCCAGTAGCACAGTTTGAAAGATAAACCAGCGGACAACCTTTTCGCAATCGGTACAGACAGTACATATAACCTTTCCTTCAGGGTCCTCATCATCTTTCTCAAGGTGCGCAAAGGAAAACAACGGTGCACAATAAATACAACTTACTAGCCAAGTCGATAAGATTATAAAATATGCCCGTTTCGTAGAAATTAATGTCCTCAATGGGAAAAATATCGCCAAAAACGTCTCCACTGCGGTAGCTAAAATGGTCAGATTGGAGGTCAGTATTAAGAGCGCTGAGAAGAACATATCAAGTCGGCAAAGAAAATCTCCAAAACGGCCGTGAATTTGCCATGCACCCTCCAATATCAAGTGAGTGTAAATTATGGGGATATTCTCTACCGAAAACAGTAAGTCGGCCAGGGACAAGTTCATTATGAAAAAATGATGGACTTTTCTTCGTGACTTCCTCCCAATTTCTTTAAATGCCTTGATGACGACTGCATTTCCAGCCAGAGAGAGCAAAGCTGCAAAATAATAAGCAGATACTAGGAAAAACCTTCCAATTGCAAGCCCTGCAATCTGTGAGTTTCTATTTGGCTCAGATAATGTGGAGCAATCGCTCAAATTTGATGCATTCTCGGGATTCATTTTGCACTGTTTTAAACGACGATATCAGTGGTTCATCTGCTTAGAGGCGTCAGCTTTCAGATGTTTAAACAAAAGACATACGTACATGTTTAATTTAAATGAACATTTGAAAAAAGCCATTAGGTAAATTCCTTTTCGAGCCAATTTCTTGTCTATTGCTCGCACAACATTCGCTTTTGTAACATCGGGAGAATTTTTTTGTGTTGCGCCCCTATTCAAATCGTATTTCAGTTTTAATTGTAAATGAATATTTTCATTTCAAAATCGTTACTCACACAAAAGTAAAGAAACTGGTATTAGTGGTAATTACGACATTTTTTTAAAACGTATCCTTATTTGCACCCCTGTTCCCCGTGCCTTCCTCGTCCCTCCCTCCCCGAACAAACCAGGGCGATTGGACAACCGCAAATTAAAATCAGAAAACCGTCAAGCAAATGTCAATTTATTAATGAGCAAATGTCAAAGCCATTTCTAGCCGCTTTTAAAAGTATAAAAGACCAGAATCATTAAAATACTGAAAATGTATTTATTTTCGTTAGCATTTGTAAGGGGATATTAGGATCATGTTATCGATCGCAGGTGGATGCCGTTTGAAACAAAACCATAGACAGTTGAAACGACTCTTGTTATCAATAGATGTAAGGTGATAAGTCTTACAATCACCGTCTTACTATAAAGTTAACCACATCTGCGAATCAAAGACACTTTTTACTGCTCGAGCTTGTTGAGGTGTTTAGATTGTGTATAATTAACTTCTCAAGTATGGTTAGTCTTTGTCCTTTTCCTGGTTTTTTCCTCCTCCTTATCGTATATTGTCATCAGTTGTTGGCATTCAAGCTTTTCTGGCTGGCATTTTGAAGTTTTGAAGATGGCACATACACAGCTCATTTGTATGCACCTCACGAAAAAAACTAATTGAATAATTCTCGTTAAGTATAGAGTCCATTAGGTGATGTGTTTTAATGGGGCCACCTAAAATGGCAGAAACTCTCTTGACTACTTTGTCTCGATAGTTTAGGTGTGAAATTATTTTGATTTTTTTATAAGGTGACCGACGCTTTCCCATGGCAAATCTAGTAAGAAGTGTGAGGCGAACTTTGATAATCATGATACTGAGAGTGACTCTTCATTGACAGGTATCGATGACAAGTTAAATTTCTTTCCTGATTCATATGGTCAATTTGTTTTTATAGACAAGTTTACCACAGAAGTCACCGCTCAAGCTTGAGTTAGGAATTACTTGCTCCTCTGATTCTACTTTTACAACTGAGTCGAGGATCTTAGTCCATCATTTCCATCATCTGTGCTCCTCTTCCTTGCTGCAGCCTCAGTTTCCACAGAGTAAACAAAACCCCTAGAGCATTTGCATTGCAGCAGAGCCGCCTTGATCCCATCACGAAAGCTCTCGTTGAAAATGAGGTAAATGATGGGATTTATGGCACCGTTGGAGAAATACAAAAATAATGCAGTAAACCTGATATGGTTTATTCTAAACAATTCATAGAAATCAAGAAGAAAAGACACATGTAAACTAAGAATCGGTAAAGAACAGATGTAAAACACGACGATTAAAGTGATGAGCATCTTGAAAATATCGCGATTTCTTTTCAATCTGCGCTCGCGATTTCTTTGACTTGCATTGCCAGGAAATTTTCGACCCGAGAGCTTGAATCCAATGGCTGTGTACAACGCCAGAATGGTGACAAGCGTTGTGGCCAAAATTCCCGCCAAAACCATGTACCACGTTTTCAAAACCATTCTATCTTTGAGATTACAGGAGGTGACACCGCCTCTAATCACTAAGTCACCGTAGTACAGCATGGGTGAAGCGAAAATCGCGGGTATTAACCATGTTAGAAGTATGATTATAAAACAGATTCTTCGGGTAATGATTTTTTTGAGTGGAACGTACACAGCGAACATTCGATCCACAGCTATGGCAAGGATGGTAAGATTTGCAGTTACCATGGTTATGAAAGAGAAGAACATGTCGATCTTGCATAAAGCGATTCCAATCCATCCTTGAAGATTCCAACGTTCTTTTAGCAAATAGTTGTTGTAAGCATGGGGCGTGTTCTGTAGGGCGAACAGAATGTCGGCCACTGACATGTTCGCGATGAAAAAGCCGTTAGCTGTTCTCACACGGCTTCGATAGTTCTTTTTAAGAATCACTAGCACCAAACTGTTTTCAATTAAGGACGCGACAAGAACAAACATGCAAATTGTGGCCTTTGTGAGTCTTAATTCAAAACTGTCTCCCTGAGAGCTCTCAGTCAGTGAAGAGTTAGTGCTGTTTTCCATTCCGATATGAAGGTCAAAATTAAATCTCCGGTTCCTACCGTTCAGATATGTATTTCTTGGATTAATTCTTCGGAACAAACTTGTAGATGATGTCTTTGATTAAGTTTGTCGTCTTTGAAAATAACGTCACTTCATACTAATAATTTTAAAAACTGCATGCATCAACTTTGGCGTCAAATTGAACACCAAAGCAAATATCGATTCTGATGTAAATGTCAGATAAGCTTTTACATAAATTCAAATTAATTGCTTATCGTGTGGGAAGGATTCTGCTGACAGCTACAAAAACATGCCCGCGAAAGTCTTACAATGAAAAAAATGTCGATGAAATGGTTTACTTATAACGAGTAGAGCAGCCACTTCAGAAAAGAGATGATAAACATCTCAGATATGATTTTGTTGGTCAAAACACTACAGTTGCCAAGGTGGTACATTCTTAAATTAATTTGTATTGTTTGGGCAATCTATTGTTTCAGCTGTCGTAAGTGCTCCAGCAATATGTTGAGACAATAGATAAAACATTAGTCTTAATGAAAAATATTGAAATGACAAATTTTGTGAGCTCAGTTAAAAACAAAGCAATAATCACATGAAATTAACAACAAAAAATTAAAAACTCTAAAATGAGGAGGCAATATTTATTCCTATAGGAAGGCGGCCTTAAAGGACAAAATGCGGACAAATGAGCAGTTTTTTAATGGAAGTTTTGATCAGTAAATTAGCTCAGTTTTTTTTTTCAAAACAAAACTTCACCAAATCGAAAATGGGTCCTTTCTTAGTTACAAGTTTGCAGATACTTGCTCACAAAGGTGGAACGATAAAAATTATTAATCAAAAAACAGAAATTGCAGTAAAACAGAAATCATTTATATTTGTGTCGAAGTAATTTACTCAACAAAATAGGGAAGGGAAAAATAAGTCGAAGGTTGTCTAATCTCTATCACTCTCCACAAAACCTACACAAAGGTGATTTACTTTTCTTGATTGTCAGTTACAGGGGATTTTTTTTCGCGTATTCCATAATTCAACAAAAAGAGAAAAATAGCTTGCAGTTGCAAACAAATTTATATTTTGTACCTTAAAGATATTTAAAGGCAAAATAATTCTCTTCTTAAGGGATGCTTAGCCATAAACGAAAAATGCAAAGTCAGTTATTTCGTTTGAAAAGCATTATTCGAACGAAATTTAACTGACTATTTTTAGGTAGTAAGTTTGGCACTTTGACACCTCATGTCTAACAACAAAAGTAAACAATTGGATCAAAAGCTAGTCTACATTAATTTTTGCAATTTGTTTGATTGATAATGTTTTTAAAACGGCCGAGGAAACTGGTAGATGTCTCCGAGGGATTTTCATGGCACACTACATTATAAATAAGAATAATTTTGAGATTTAGTTACACGATATGTTCTCTCGAAGATGAAATTGTTTTTTTACACTTTCTAGTTAAACTTTAATCAGGTAAACATGTTTTCTGTTATCGCGCGGAGGAACCGTTTATTATTCTCTTAGTTCAAGTTTGTTTTAGAATGCGTTGTAAATGTATTTAAGGAATCAGTACTAGTAAAGTCGGATGTCATTATCGGCAGAACGCGGAAACCGACCTTTCGGAGAAGTTACGAACTATTTTTGTATAAACACCCCAGGGTTCAAGGAGAGATGAATAGATGGCGAGGCAACCCGTGAGTTTGTGTCAGTGATGATTGAACTATACCCCAGCAGTGCACTTAACTCAGTCCATGATATATTGTGTTGCTTAGGAGTCCCTCCATTGTAACGATTACCTTATGAAATAAAGTTGAATAGACAACTGGTTGAGTTATACGTTACCAATTCGCCAATATGGGTCCAACAATATTGGACCATTTTGCACAAACAAAAATTTAAGAATAAGTGGCAGGATTTAACAATGTTATGCTTAGCGTACCCGGTTGACAGCCTCGGCAAAGGAGGTTGGTCTCGACGCGCAAAGCAAAATGGGATTACTTTATACTTTCCTTGTGGTGTACATGTAATGCGAGAAATAGGTCAGCAGAAACAATATGAAACCAGTGACGTTTGTAAAGGTCATGAACAAGTTTCTCATTTGCATTTCAATCTACGATATGACTGTTATGGACATTCCCATGAGGTCACTAGGTTCCATACTCCTGATCCAATCTTTTTGTGTAAACCTTTCGCTGATGCTGAAACGAAAGAAAAAAACAAAAACACTGAAACTAAAGTCCACTGACACGGGGATTGCTAACGTAAGAGACGCATGGCATCTTTGAATACTCTGTTTCAGAAAATGATAGAAGGAAAGAAACGAGAAAATAAAAAAATTCAAACAGCATGTAGTCTGCAACTTCCATAGAATATTCTGATTTCTAAGGAAAGAGGCCACAAGGAGTTTTGCTATTCTCTCTGGGTAAAATTCTGTACACAGTCTATCACAGGGTACCCTCCAAGTACTGGTACGATTTCCCAGACAGGTCCACCCATAATTACTCCCTAGTGTAGATATGCAATGCTTGAGTCTTTCCCCTAAGACACTAAACCCGATTATAACATAACCAAAGTAAAGCGCACGCCCTGATTGGTCAATTCAGCGTCCACCATTTGCCCATGGGTGTACGCTGCTGACGTGAGCAAATGCAAAGAGTAGTTTTCCGCGCGCGCTTGTTTTTTTCTGGTCACGTAAAATTTGTTAAATAAAAGAAAACTCTTCTACTACAGTGTATCAATGTTATGTTATAAAACAAATGGTAAACGCCACAGCGTACACTATTGAGTTATGGATGCACTTGGGAGATTGCTAAGCACTCAAGAAGCTAGAGTCGCTCTCGGCTATCGCCTCGCGTGACTCTTACGCTTCTTTCGTGCTTAGCAATCTCCTGCATGCATCCTTAACTCAATAGTGTATGCTGTGGTGTTTACCATTTGTTAATTTTAATCCAGATATCAGAGCTCCAGCCTCTAACACAGCTAATCATTATTCCCAAAATAACGACAATGAATTATTAAACTTACCTCCATATGAGACTGATCCATCAGTTTTCGTAGCAATGTACAAATGTTCGGGTAGATCAGATTCGAGCTTTCCAGGAACTAGTATAGCAGGTACGAAATCTCTGGAAAACGATTCCCGTTTCCATTCCTCGGGCATAATACCAGTCCAAATAACTTTATCCCCACTCACTACATGGCATCGATTATCTGTTGCCACGGCAAAAATCCTTTGATACAATCCACGAACAGTCATCCCAGAAATCATTTTTACTCGCGGATCTAGCCCTGAGGGTAAAAATGTATGCTTTGCGTTTCAGAGTGGCAATAAAATAAAATACATTGGACTACTTTAACGAGAAAACATTTCTTACACATACCAATCCATTGGACGCCATCATTTGAAAAATAACACGAAGGTTCCAAATCACTAAAGGAGGATGACAGAAAGTAAAGAAAACTGACTCGGCTTTATTGTAACATTACTGAAGAACTTATATTTAAATTAACAAGCAAGAGATCGTAGTCAGTTGCTATTAATTTAGGTACCTTTTCTTCTCTTGGCAGAGGTACACTTCGTCAGATAACGGATTCAACAGAAATCCTCTTTGAGCATCTAACAAGATCGATATAAAAAGAAATATTCTTACAAATATACCAAATATGATTTCACAATTAAACTCTTTATTTCTTACTAATTTTCGAATTCGTTACTATAAGCATTACTGACGAAGCCTCAACCTTTAGGTCAACTCCCCATATCATACCCAAAAAATTTCAAATAATTAATTTACCAAAGTTGGCCATATTTGACTACCTTCTCTCACTGTGAAGTTTATCGTTACGGACTGTATTGAGCTGACGAACATCTTGGCGGCATCATTTGCCATGCGTTGTTCATACAGAATAAAGCTTGGTACAGACAAGAAGTATTTTCCAACAGATAGCACACGTTTAGGATCAATTTGAACCGTGATGTTAATTTGCTTTGATGACACGGGCTGAATTTCTCCAATCTGACAAACAAAAAAGTAGGAGATTTTAGGTATATGTGTCTTGTGCATTCGATTGTATCATAGGATCTGTGCGCTTTTGTCATTACTTTGCGCTTGAATGATAAGATTAAAAAGCGCTAATTTATGACGATACGATAGGATATGAGAAAAATGACTAGCAGCTATGGAAGATGTTAAGCTATAACAGAGCAAAGAAATCTGACCACGTAACAGCAGTCCTCATGGCAATGCAGTGGCTACCTATTAGGCAACAACTCTATTACAGAAATGCTGTAATAGCATTCAAGTACATGACTGGTTGCGCACCCGATAGTTTAAATGAACAGTTCATTAAACGTTCAGACTTATCAACGCGCACCACAAGAAATTCACAGAAATTTCAGATTCCTCTCCTAAAGACTGCTACAGGACAGAGAACCTTCTACTTTAGAACTGTAAAGATTTGGAATGCGCTAGATCCCTCGCTCAAGTTAAGCAAAACACTACAAGAACTTAAAAGGAAATCAAAAAACATTTTAATAAAAGACTTCATGGATAGTAAAGTGATATAATTGTGTAATATACTATATAAATAATATAATGTGTTTTTTTATGATATGGTTTTTAGCATGTATTCTCTGAAAAGCACTTTCAGGACGAGAATAAAGTTTGTATGTATGTCTGTATGTATGTATGTATGTATGTATGTATGTATGTATGTATGTCTGTCTGTATGTATGTATGTATGTATGTATGTATGTCTGTATGTATGTATGTATGTATGTATGTATGTATGTATGTATATATAAGAAACAACACTTGACGATTTAAAAATAACTGATCCTAGAGCTATTGATCCTAGACGCGTGTCATACACGAACTTCGTAATGGCCTTACTCGCTAGAGAGTCTCCGTGACTCAGCAGTAGAGCATCGGAGCGCGGAATCCGATTACTCATGGGGAATCAGATTTTTTTATTTGTCCCACGCTCGTTACAAGACGAAAAATATGTCTTTTATTCAGGAATTGATGGACTCTTCTTCTTCTGAGACTGCAATGACTTGAGTTGAGCTCATTAAACTAAAAGCTCTAACGATTTCAGTCAAATGGCTTTTAAAAGGCACATTAATATTTATGAAAGACAATCCTTGTACAAATACTTTTAGTCGAGCTTTTCAGTCATAGTAATGTAACAAAACTATGAATCCAAGTCTCTCGTAAATAAGCCTTACGTATTACTCTCATGCGCTTACCTTAATATTATACTCTCCAGGGTAAGGATTGGACACATTTGTCAAAGGCACGTGACTTAGCATACTCGCGTAGTAAGGAAGAGTCCAAACCAATAGTGTATCAAAGGCAATATCTCGTGAGAAAAAGTCGTGCGATAAAATTACTGTAAATGTTACCAAGTCACTGTGAAAGGATAAAAGGGCGGAATCAATGATTTATATTGAAGAAAACTTAATTTATTGGTTACAGGAGAACGGATGTGATCCAACATCAAGTAATAATTTCACTCACTTTTGAAACAAATTGCTGTCATCGCATATTGAAACAGCCTGTTTTATTATTGGTCTCCTTTCTGCGAAAAGAACCAGAAATTATTGCTATATAAATTACACGGTATAAAGATACCTTAGACTTCTAACTCCCGTGATCCATTTCTCCCTGTTTCTCAATCACTAATTATTTTGTCGTATAGATGTCGTTTTTACTCTTTTTCCCTTTCTTTGTACCTTTTTTTCTTCCTTCTTCTTTCAGGGCCTTGAGCCGGGCCGTGTGTCCTTATGCGGCCCTTAATGCGCCATCACACAAGGCTTTCATACAGAAATACTTCTTTTTTCTCTTTAATGTTTACAATGAGAGCGGGCGCGCGAGGCTTTATGGGTAATGTAAAAATGCTCGTAAACACACACCTCTCACCAGGACCTTCACAACACGAGAGTCGCTCCCAGCGACGTTTGACGCATTACAGGTATAGAGCCCTGCGTCGGATTGTTTGATCGAGGAGAACTCAAGACTTGTATCGTTATGGACCTGTTTACTGTCGTCCTTGTACCAGCGGACTGCTGGTGAAGGATAGCCGCGAACAGAGCATTGAAGAGTCAGGGAATCTCCTGTGACAACTTCAAATAGAGAACTGGAGCCCTTGGCGATGGTGGGGGGTTCTGAACAACAAATGAAAATTTTATGTCGGAATAACTTGTCAATAGAGTATTTCTTCAAGGACTGCGAGCGCGTTATTACAGTACATGTATTCCCCTCTTCGGGAACACTGAAAGCACAGAGCCCCTTTAGGGTTACAAGTTCTCCTATGCTTTACTCCAGAATAACCCCGAAAGAGCAATCAGTAATTAGCCTCTAATTTAATCCCATATCCAAGATTCGTCATTTTGAGCTAAACATTTTCCGGATTGTGCTAATGCAAGAAAACATCGTATTCTCTTGACTCATGCTCTCTTGGCTCATGCGATTTACACACCGCCGACCGGCCAAAGTACACAGTCACGTGACTGTTTTTCGCCAAACAAGTATATGTATTGTGGACAACTATGAACTGCTCTGTGTTACCGCCAAAACTCCTCAATGGTCTGTCGTGAACCAACCTTCAACTAAAACTGTGCCGAGAGATGAGCCAGCGTTTGACTTTCGGTTTGGTAAACAATTGAAATCTAGTATTTCCTCCATCTGAAAATTAAAATTGTGATAAATTAATGGTCGGCATTTAAGACCGATAGTCCGTAAATATTTCCAAAGTCTCATTAGTTTCGCCAAACCCTTTTAAATTGTCGCGAAATCCTCCTAAGTTGTGGACAACACATTTCTTAGTTGTCGCAACCAGGTCGAACAGGCAGGTTCCCCGATTTTGCCAAATTTTGCATGTAAACTTGCTTAGGGGTTCTAATCACTAAATGGATAAATTATTTATTTCATTGTCTTTTTTTCTTTAATTTGTTTGCCCTCGAGACAATCCAAAACGGAAACCCCTTTTAGAACAGCATTACCCTCACGCATTTTCTTTTCCGACAAATTAATTATCAACCGAAAGATTTGGATTATCTGCTACTGTAATCCTCAACATGAACCTGAAGCCAATCCTTTTGAAGTATGTTTATCGGTAATTTTCTACCAGCTAGTTCAAGTTTCGACGCTTTTAATGTCACTAACGGTTTTGTTAGTTTCCCCAGACGTTAGCGGGATCATTTCACATGAATATATAATTACCTTGATTTCATAGGCGCCACCAACACTGGGGGCGGTATATGTCTGAGAAAAGTGCTTTTCCTGGCAATCCAGCTGAGATTTCCTTATGGTTGCAAGACATATGCTCATGTTGAAGAGATTCAGGTACACTTGGCGTACGCAAGTCGGACAATAAAACGAAGGTGTAAGACAATATTTGTAGTAACCTGTGAAAATTGATATCAGCTTAATTGCATTTGGAGGCCTTTTGAGAGGCACCAGAAGACAACAAGCATGATTTGCCTTTTGGCTGCAAACTTTCCGTCGAGATTAGTTGCTAACTTTTCTGATAAACTTTCAGTTCAAAGAAAACAAATTATTTATAAATTACTGAAAGATAAACTTAATAAGGCATTTTGCTTCAGGAAACCACCGTGGCGCCTTTTAACCCTTCATTCGAAGTTCCTTCAGACTGCATCGTGAGAACTTTGCAGACAAGCACGAAAAAACTTGTCGTGCACAGACTGCCACCGCCATTTTATCAAATATTATTTTATTGCTATTAGCTAAAAGCACACTCAGATATATTGGCACATGAGAAGTTTGTAAATAGCACTCAACATTAACCGAGCAGGAGGTCTGTATGGGAGAATCTTGACCGAGGTCGTCAGTACAGACCGAACTCAGTGAGGTCTGTACCAGCGACCGAGGTCAAGATTCCCCCATACAGACCGACCTAGCTCGGTTAATAAGATGTTTATTATATGGCTGTGTCTTATATGCCAATTTTTTATATTCTTTGTACCTTTTTTTTTCTAGACCGGTCTAGATGCCGGTCTAGATAAGAAAATCTAGACCGCTTTCAATATTGATTTCAGCCAATCAAATTCATGAATTCGGTAGTTCCCAGTCCTTGTGAGACACAGCCATATAATAAGCTAGTATATCACTAAGCAGAACCTCGGGCAACTCTAACACTTCTCTTGTACTCCCCAAACTTCTCAAAATACGAAGGCGAGAAATGAACAAATATTTTTTAAATTTTATGGGCTACCAGATTATCAAAAAAAAAAAAAGTCGACGTACCTTTTATTGTTACCAACTCTCCACGCTGTGCTTGAAGAATAGTCGTTCCAGTCAATGCATACTCCTTGTCGGACTTCCCTGTGAACGTACGAAGGAGTAATCAGCATGAGGCTCAGTTAAAATATCATATGCATGAAGGAATAAACTCAAAAGAAAGAAGATCTGTCCAAAAAAATCTAAATTCTTTTATCTTGTACCCTTTTTGTATCCTTTCGTGTTCTTAGAGCGGAAATCTTTTGTACGATTAAACCAAAGCTAAACAATGGACGTTTTTGTACTTTTTCAAATGCCTTTTAATTCTAGATGTTCAGCTACAAATAATTTCAATTTTCAATAAGTTTATTATCCAAATGACAGCCTCTCCTTTAATCTAGTACTTCATTAAGAGAAATCTTCAATTCTGACCAACAATAACCACGTTGGTATTGTGGCCAAATTATAAATACATTTCTACTGCATTGAATTAACGTACAAAGGCCTGGCACTGATGGATAAAAATGGGCTTATCACGCCATGAAACTCCTTCATTAATGTTTTTCCCTGAACCGTGGTGTGGATGGTAATATGGCAGTAACAGTTTCTATTTGCTCTTCGTTGGACATCTCCCTCTTGCTACTCAGAATTTGAACTTAGCAACGAATGATAGAAAATTTCTTCGGTTGGTGTTGGAAAGACCGTAAGCAATTTTCAAGGACTCGATTGACACACTTGTGATGGTCTCTCAGAAAAGGCATGTTTGATATACGTTTCGGCAGCTGATCTTCGACCTTCAAAACTCCATATTCCTAACAATTTTACCAGAATTTGAGAGCACAAGGTAGTCGCATTGAGCAAGATGAGGAATAACCACTTTTAAAAAAAAATAATCAATGATCGTGATCTAGTTTGAACTTTTGACGTAACTTTTTCAAAAAAACACAAAATCGAGTTAGTGTCTCAGAATTCAGAGGGCATTTTGAAATGATTCATCCGCTTCGCTAATGAAAAGTCAATAAACAGAGAGAGGAAAATTTTACACGTTGTCAAGCTTACGCTTAGAAAAACAGCTTGCACATAACACAAACTTGGAATATGAAAATTCGTTTCCCTATGACAAAAAAGGTAACTTCCTTTGAATGCCCTGTTTAGGAAAGTCATGAGAGCATTAAGATGTGATTTCTTATCATTTCTAAATTCGTTGAATCGGAAAACTAACTGCTTACCTTGTATTGTGAGCAGCAGAATGACTTTTACAAACAAAAGTAGTCTTAAAATTGTCCTAGACCGCATTGTACCTCAGAAAACAGACCTTGCAGTGGTGAAAATTACTTTTTTTGTTTTTCCCTACATGCTACGACGCAACATCAAACAGAGACCCGCTCACTTTTGGTTTTCTTTACCCTGTTGGCAACATGTATCATTGATCGTTGCGCATTATGAATTAGCAGTAAAACACCCGGCCAATGAAACACAAACACAGATGCGCATTTGTATAATTTTTAATGAAATTTTCTTTGTAAACGATGATACCGAACAATAACAATCTGTCTTAATTCGTGTTTTCCTCTGCACAAGGAAGCTACTGTTTTATACTAGCTCGTTAAAGCCTAAACTGACTTTGAATCTAAACCCAACCACTCTTAACAAAAAAGGCTGTTTTTTAACGTATGAAAAAGGTTTCTGTTGATTTTTAAAAAATATACTTGTGTTTACTTTGTTTTACATTTGCTTCACTAGGCTCGGCTTTGTCGACTTTTTGTTTACGCGATTTTCTTACAAGCGTAAATGACTTCTTGCCTGACAGGCTTGAACTAGATCGGACAATTAAATAACGTCACGAAAAAGAAAAAGTGATATAACCGTGGAAACTTCGAAATAGTTGGTATTTATGGATATCATTCCAACTGCAATAAAATTTCGCGGAATTATCATCAAGCGGAAGCTCAAAGTGTTCGAAAGAAACTACACATGGTTTTGCATTTACTACATGAAAATGAATTAAAATCTCAACACTGGCTGGATTTTCAAAAGATTTACATGAATATGAAGCTCGAAAAAAATGTGTCGCCCAAAATTTTGAAGATTGACAAGTTGGCTCCAAGTCACGTTTTTAGCTGTTTTCTGAGGAGTAAGAAAAATGTTAATCGTTTGGATCCCGGCAATTACCCGAATGATCGGAGGCTGTGTCTAAGAAAGATCGCCGTCGAATATAGGTACGAGATAAGAAGGACTGTAAAAGAGGCACATGAGGTCAAGGTCGATGGGAAATTGAAAGTAAAAGTTGAATTTCTGGCGACCACAAGATAGGTCGGATACGATCACCGACAGCTGAAAATAAGACAGAAAATAAATGTGGATTATTTACCCTAGTTTTCTGTCGGTGAATATTGTTGCCAGAATACATTAACTCAAGACCCTCGTCTTGAAATATTTACAAAGTACACATTTCTAGAACATTCTGGAACTTTGTGCGTCTACTGATATCAGGTCACCTGCTCATACGAGTTTCCCACGCGCGAGTTTTCGTGTCAAGTCTTGATTGGTCAGCAAAGTGCCATTTAAAAAACCAAACGATTTCAGTCAACTCATACTACGGCTGAGAAACAAGTGTGCTTAACGCTTTTAAGTTACAATGGAGCACGACATTTATGATGTACTGATGGCGATGTTGACAGTTCTACCACTGTGCATGACAGCCACTACCCTCGTATGCATTCCTTATATCTTGTGACCAATATATTCACTCTCCCGCGAGAAGATCGTGCGCGCCGGGTATAGTTTAACAATCATCGCCGGAGAAGAAACAGAAGAAGGAATGCCATAAGGCGTGCAAGTGAAAATCTCTGCGCCCATTCACCGTTGCGACGGCGCCCTACACCTCAGGAACATGACGAACTCTTCTAACAACTGGTAGGAAATGAACAAGTATTGACGAAGAAAATAAAAAACAAGTTCTGTTCGATTAACACTGCTCATCTGATCTTTAGTAAATCGTTTTTTGCCCTTTCTTTCAAATGATAGGTCTGACTCAATATACCTCGTGGCTTTAATTCTCCTCAAAATTGAATATCGTAGAATATCTCTTAATAAGTTAAAAATGGTAAATGTTTATTAAACAGAGGCAAAAAACCATTTTATAGTCATTAAAATAAATAAGTAAACATGAATTTAATATAGCTCTATTCTAGCAATGAAAGACACTAGAACTTTGACAAACCTTCCTCAAAGTGCGGCAGAACAGCCACTGACATAAAGAAAGACACGGATTGTCAAGATAGAAGGTCAAAATTTACTATTAGATCGACAAAATATAAACAAATTCAAGTGTAAATCTAATAGTTTAACAACTACAAGTTGACCTTTTCGTTATTTCATTGTTTTTCAGACACGAAGCGAACTTAAAATTTCGATGAATTTACAATTACGAGGGAATCCCTCCCCAGACTTGTAAAAGTTGTACCAACATTTACTCAAGATAAGTTAATAAACTGTTTTTTCAAGTAACGTACTTGACAACTTCTTGTAATGTATTGTTCATCGTGGTACCAATTGTGCGATTTGAAATCTAGCATGTCAGATTCGCATGTTTTGGCAAAACTTAACCACGCAAATTTAATACCTTGCGAAATGAAGTTCACAAGATTTCTGCATCCATTCGGTGTTTTCGAACCCTTTACGCGTGTCGCCGTTTTCCCTCAAGGCCGTTGTAGTAGACAGTTTAAGAACATCGCTCGAACGTGAGAGAATATTTGAGAGCTTATCAACTTCTTGATTTAAATTGACACGAAAGACAGGTGCACGCAGCACGTGGACCACTGCATGTCTATTGTATCTAGTATTTAGGGACTAAAGATTGCAACCAACCAACACAGCTGTTTTAATAGAAGGAAAACTAGTTTTTTTAAACTAGCATGAGCAATCATCTGTATACAAAGCTTTTCTCCTGTCTGCTGGAACGACTGCTCTCGTTTTCTCCGGACTACCTGCTGATCGCTTTAACTCAACAAGACCCCTGAAACACAAATAATTTTTTTTATTCTGAGGATCTTTTAAGTATTTAGATGAAAAAAACATGACTGTTGAAAAATGAGTACGCTAATATTTGGGCCAAGCAGTGAGAAGCGTTTTAAGAAGCGTTTTGAAGTAGAGTCTAAAGAATACAACTAAAAAGTATGACTTGAGTTCTCCGTTGCAAAATCATGCCTTTCTGTATTTATTTACATATTTTCCTTTTTTTTCCTATTTTTTCAAAAATGGAAATGGTATTTGTTCCCTTTTTTATGTCCAGGCCCCATCCCAGAGCTATACAAGTCGTCTCAGCACCACAGGATAGGTGTCGTTGCTACAGATGATGCAAATGTTTATAGTTCCATGTGCTGATTGGTCTCGCGAGAAAAATAGCGAGACAAATATGGTGATTATCGCGCTATTTTGTGTTTTTTTACCGCTGCAGCCATGTATCACTAGTTTACATTAGATGGCGACCATTTTCTTTGTGTATGTGCCAAACCTCTTTGAGTTACATAAATTGGCTCGGATTTAGAGAAGTTTTTCTCCAAAATGGCCCTTTAGGCACACTCCTTAATTGCATGAAATTCCACAGATTTCATGACACCTAGCAAATGTTTTTTCCCCAGATCACATGCAGAATCATGTACCATATGCGAAAATTCACAGTCATTGCAACAAATCTGTCATGAGGTATTTTGTTCTCAAAATTGTCAAAAATTCCCCACACTAGCCTCGGGTATCACGGTATTTGCAGGTAGCAGCAGGTGAGTAAAAAAAAAAATTTTTGAATTCAGTCAACAGTTCGCAAATGCATGTTTTTCTGGCTAAAAGCGGAGTTCGACACTCATAATGGACTGATAAAGGTGTTGACCATTCTAGTCCTGAACATGAAAACAACTGCCCTTCTAAATATTCGTTAGCACATGAAAAATATGTTTCTTCATCTGCGGCAAGATCGTGAAAACTGAGGAGAAGGAACCTCGCCGCTCATTCATTTGAGAACGGACACACCTTTGCGTATTTTAAGGACTCTTTACTCCCTTCTCTTTGTCCTGCTCGTCATAGAAATTTCGCTTCTCTGAGGGTGTTAACACATGTTAATTAGCCACGAAACGAAAAAATAAGCAAAATGAATTCTGTAGTGGCGAAGAGTGATGGTTCCCCTTTGCGAAAAGTAAAGCCAACGGGCTATTTTTAATGTCACCACTGGAGACTATATATGAATCAAAAGGTTGGCTTGATTTAACCATAAATTGAATGAGGCGGGTGGATGTGAATTAATTGGGTATCAAAATTGACTGCACAAATGACACTTTTCACAGTTTCAATCCTGAGACGGCTGGATTTTCATGTGGGAATTTTTCAATATTCCTCTTGGTTGCTTTGCAATTTTACTGTCGAACTTGCTAATCAAACCCTAACCGGGATATCAATAAATTTGAACTCTAACAAGATTTGTTTTTACAAAATATGGCTTTGAAAATGCATGCAGGAGAAGGTGATCAAATATTAATATAGCATGGTTGTTGATCATATCAATATTTTTAGTTCCGAGAGTTACGTAAAATATTCACGTATTTCTTGGAAATATTTCGGTTTCTTTAGGTTGAACTGAATTTTCAGTAATCCAATGTTTTACGAAGATTCTTGTCACGATAACGTCTAACTTTACCTGTTACAGTCGACAGGTATTAACCACTAGCAGCTCCATACAAACGACTCATTCGCGACATTAACAGGTGGAAAATACTCAAACTACCCGACTCTAATTCAATTGAAAGCCTTTTGCAAGCTTTATTGAGCTAACACATATTCCTTTTTCTTTAAAAAAGAGACAAAAAAAAAAGGAAAACAACTTTTCAATTATTAATGAGAAGCCTAACAAGCATTATCGCTTTCGAAAACTATTAGAACATGACTAGCTGGCTTCCTTTATTAAGAGATGTTTAAGGCGTTAAGCAGTCGAAAGCTTTATGCAAGCTTTTGTGAGCTAAATCAACAAGAAAAGAAACTCTTCAATTGTTAAAAATTAACCTAATTTCCTTTGAAAGGCATTTGTAACCTTTTTTCCTGAAGTTATGTTTGCTACATATTTGAATGCAGTATTTTAGGCATTTGTATTTAATTGAGTGGTGCTAAATAAAAACGGTGTCAAGTTGTGACATCCATGTAATCTCCAAGTTAAATAGAGTTATCATCGAGTAAAAGCCAAAAGTATCTAAGAAACAGTTAAAGATAACCATAATTTGAAATTTATAGTGGTCCACTTGAAATACCCATGCATAGCAGGGTTAAAATCCAGAATATCATCCTATATGGGGATACACTGAAAAAAAAAGGAACAAAACAAAAGAATAACAGAATTAACACCAACAAAATGTTTGCATTAAGATAAGAAAAATCGTCCACATGAGCGTGTGTAAAAAAAATTGTTCTGTCGGTCAGCCTGAAAGTAAAAGAGTTTCCTTTTCAGTTTCACCCTTCAATTTAGCACATGCGGGTGTTAGAAAATTGAGACTGTTTTGTCAGCCAATAAGAAAAATATACAGTCAAAGACTCCAGCCAATGATATGAAACGTTTTCTTATTTTTACCTTAGATGGAACTCGCGAAAGAGCTCCACAGTAGCTGACCACTTATATTTTCCAAGCTACGAAAACACAATTAAGTTTTCATTAGCATTTTTATCCTAAACTTCTCGATGATATTTCTAATTTTCGGAACGAGTCGCAACCATGAGTGAGCGAAAAACCACGATTTCTGTTACACCACGTTTCATAGACAGTGACAGTTGTGACTTCAAATGCCACCACCACCACGTCGCATTTTTGTGGCTCCTGATGATTCACTTTCTTTATTTTCTCTTCCCAGCCAAGCGACTTTAGTAAAGAAAAGTTTGTGTTGCTTTTCCATCTCTCGCGAATGCGCAACATAGGCGCCAAAGTCGTCTCAACACTGCAGGATAGGTGTCGTTGTTACGAATGGTGCAAATCTTTATAGTCATGTTCTGATTGGTTTCGCAGGAAAAATAGCGAGACGAATATGGTGATTATCGCGCCATTTTGTATTTTACCGCTGCGGCCATGTGTCACTTGCTTGCACAAGATGACGATCGAAGGAAGGAAAGTAAATTTGGGTTCTCTGACGAATTCTGTCAAGGATGTTGCGGCTTTTCGTAAATCAATCAGCACAGCTACATCGTGTCATGCCGCTGCAACAGGAAATTTACACCCCATTCCGGCACGGTCCGCCACAAATTGACCGAATGGGAAGGTATTGAATCACAATCTTATCTTTTTTTCATCGTTTTAGAATAAAATTATCAAAATAAAATAATTACATTTGACGGACTATGCGGAAAATCTTTATTACCAGTATCTTTGTGCATGCGCCAAACCACTTTGAGTAACATTAAATTGGCTCGGGTTTTAGAGATTCTGAGGTTTTTCTCCAAAATGGCCTTTTGGACACACCCCATGAAATTCCACAAATTTCATGACACTTAGCAAATATTTTTCCTCCAGATCACATGCAGAATCAAATGCCATATGTAAAAATTTGAAGTCATTGAAACAAATCCGTCATGAGAAATTTTGTTCTCAAAATTGTCGAAAATTCACCATATCAGCCTCCGGTATCACCTTACGTTAGAAGTATGATTCAAGAATATATTGTTAAAATTAGCATTCAACCAATAATTGATAATATTTACAATGATAACTATGATAACAATAATAATTTACAATGATTTAAAGGGACTAGCTCGAAAGCCTCATAGTTCCTTTATCGGCTCTGAGTTCCAACATTGGTTGCCTATGCTTCCTTTAATTTCGCCTGTTAATTGGAAATAATTTTTTTATTCTATTGTAAATCCATTTTTTGAGATTTTTGTATTTGGATATTCCGCCATTCTGCGTCTTAAGATATTCCGCCATTCCGCCGATCTACCTTTCCTTCGTTCCATCGTTCTGTTAAATAACACATGGTATGGTATTTCGCAGCTTGCTCGCTTCGCAAATTTAGTGGCCCTTTGCGGCAAACGTCGCTGATTCAAACAGTAAAATGCTCTCTTTTCAAAGAAAAAGAACTTTTCCTCGAAGCTTACCTGATGTGCAGATCACGTCTATTGAGGTGTTTCTGCCAGGAAAAGTTTTGATTTCAATAATGCGTCGTGGATGCCACCGTGAAATAATTTTAAGATGTTTATCGTCTTTTGTAGTGTCACGTACGGCAAGAACTGAAAAGATTATATTATCGGATCTAAATAATTTGCGGGCTAGACGGTAAAATGCTCTCTGTTCAAAAAAAAAAATTCTCCCGCTAGTTTTATGATGCACCGATCGCACCTATTAAGATATTTCTGCACGGAAAACTTCGGTCTTAAATCACGCAAAATCCTGAAATAACCGTGAAATGTTTATCGCTTTCTGCTGTCTTCCATAGTATCACGGCAAGAACTGAAAACATAATGTGCTTGTGTCTATAATCTAGAAATCATAAAAGGAGAGAACTCAACTGTGTATCGAGTGCAAATGTAGAACTATAGTGAGATACTCCGAAAAAAATATTGATCGGGTAACATCAGGTCAAAATTGGGTCACCATCCAAACTCTCGACTCCTTTGGGAGGCAGTAACCACAAAAAATCAGCAGAAGCTTCGACCTTGAAAACAATTCTTTTATTTTCTTTAAATACATAGATATGAGCATAGGTATTGAGGGTACCTATAACATTTAATAATTAAAAAAATAAATAGAACAAAGCCCTCTTCTCTTAAGGATTCATTTAAATACACTAAGTTTTTTTTATTTATAAAATCGACATGCAAAGTACTACACATCATAAGCATCTAATTTCCGATTCGTTTTGTTTTGTTTTTTCTAATGCATTTAACCTTCTCGAATTTTTTCGCTTATTTTATTTCCCCTTATCTTTGTCGTTTAGGAAATATTACGGGTCAATTAACGTCGGTACCTGTGCAACTGCGTACTTACCCCTCCCCCGACTCAACATGAGCCCTAACTTGTTATCAATTGGCTATTGTTTGATTAGGGGAGGGGTAGGTGCGCAGTTTCTCAAATACTGATATTCATCCAATGTCGCTCTTGGGTCATCACACACTCAGAAACGATCTCATTCCTAATTGACCGAGTAGATTAAAGGTACAGAGTGCAATTTTGTAGTCCAGACCCGGTTAGTAAGTTTAAATAGATATTTTCATTTCTATTACAACTCGAAAAATGTTTAAGCATGATTTGTCTTTCACAATTTTTCTATGATAGGATCACATGTGATCAATCTCGACTTGGTCACACATTTGTTTTCCGTAGTTTGATGGAAATCATATTGTTTAATATGGTCAAATCCTGTGTTCTGATTGGCTACCCGAGCGGGCAAGATGGGCCCATCTGTTCTCTCTGGATTGTCTGGTTTGATCCAGCGCAAGGAAAAAAAATGTTGAGTGGACTTAAAAAAAGCAAATCAGTTCTTTACCATATCATCTAATAGTATTGGCCACCAACTGGTTCTTTTGATCCTTGATTTGAGTATGATGGCCAAATTATACCTGAAAATAATTCTGAAGCGCTTGAGAATGTATTATAAATGAAGTGTATTTAGAAGTGAATTGATTGTTTGTGTTTTAAACGAGTCCCAGTTGGCCTGATCCTGCATTTTCTGTTCCAGAGTGGCCTGACTTGGGTATGGAGGAATCTGTTAAAAAAATTTGATCAACACATGCATGTCATAACAGTAAATGTCTCGTATAATTCCAGTGGTTTCTGGGTGGAAATTTCTGAGTCAGTTTTTGCAACATTTCAACTATCTAGGAAATAAAGACAAAGGATAAATTTCTGCCAATGCTACACGGCGTGATCACATGGCTTCAGAGCTGAAAGCATGGATATCACAGTGAGTGCGCTTGCTACCAGTTAGGTACTCCAGAAAACAATTCGTAAGCTCGTTACCTGGTTTCTGAGTTTCCGTAGTGTTGCTTCGGTGGCATGCTGCAAGAACCAACTTTTCTTTATCAAAACACATTCTGCTCCATTACTAACCTGAAAAATGCACAGAAAACAACACTTAGCTCAAGAAAACATTCGCTTTCACCAGTAGTCTTCTCTAAAGCGCGCATTACAGGGCCTTTGATGGGTGATAAGGGTTCCTCTTCGGACAAAGGGAAATAACAACATCAGTTATGCTAACTTCAAATTTGTGTTGGGATCCAAGAGGAACAGGTGGAGTTAAAGATGTTTGTCTCATATCATACAAAGTCAAAAGAGACGAAATGCACTAAGGTGGGTAGTAAAACTAGCTGTTTTAACAAGTAAGAATTAAAATTGCTTTCAGGTGTTCTTAGGGGGTTAGGTGTCAATTGGAATGAAGGTTCTGTTCCTTTCTCCTGCCATTCCTGTGGCGAATCAATTAAACTTAAACTTACCAAATGGCATTTGACTGCGGGATTATCGAAAAGTAGCACCGAAAGACCCTAGAAGGGAAAAAACGAAAAATTGTTGCTATCACTTTGACAGTGGTTGAAGGTTGTGATGGCAACGGAACTTGATGGCTTTGAATTTTTATCACAAGAAGCACGACAGTCTTTCGACTCACAGAATGTTTTTGCATGTAAATTGCAAGTCACAAGAAGGATGAGAGACGACTATATGCACTAAGCTGATCTAAAAGATTAAAGTTTAAAGACTTAAAAGGCTCTAAACCCACGGAATGTTTTCGCATGTAAATTGCGAATCGTTTGTCTGTATGGATGGATGGAGAGCAACCGGAAGAAACCACATGGGATTATTATCCTTAAATGAGAAAAAACTCCACGACCCACGATTAGATATTCTAAGAACCTTCCACCATGATCTAAAGAATTACCTAATAAGGACTCCCCTCAGAGTTAGGTCTCTGTAGGAGAGTCACTCTTTCAGCCGGATTCTCTCTCGCTGTAGTATATTATGGAATCACTTACGAACTGATCCTTTGGTTTAAGTAACTCTATCTGCACCACCACTTGCTCGTTCTTGGAGTCCGCCTCCGGTGTCTCAATCTGTCTTTTGTTATTCTGGAATAACAATGATATAATTTTTTTAGGATGAATTCCTTCGTATTGATAAGAACCAAAACCTCCCTTGAGTGTATTTCGACCTTCTTCAACCTGGCCGTAACCGTTAAGAGAATTTCCTATGATAGTGATGACAATGATGATGATGTCTATGCTTATGTGTTACAGGCTCTTGAGAGCATAAATAGTTGTCTGAGGGTTCTGACTTAACTCTTTTTTCTTGAAAAAGAAAGAGAGGGTGTTATATAGACCCCTTTCCCAACCTTAGCCACGCCCTTTATCGGTGTGACATTCACCAACCCAAACCGGGTTATTAATTTTTATGATTTGATACTGAAGGAGAAAAAGTAAGAGCTCTTAGTACTTACTGATGGAGTTTTATTTCGAGGTTTTTCTGCGTTGCTGATCTTTCTGTGAAGTCGTTCAATTTTCTCCCGATGTTCTTCGCCATCTCTGACTGCATGATAAAAAAGCCAAAAACAAAAACTGATAATTTTGGCCAAGCTTGGCGACATCTGCGAAAAGTTGCATGTAATTTGGCCTTCTGTCAACTCATGTTTTAAACAGGAATGTTGGAATGCAAAAAGCACTCTGAAATGTTTCACAGGAAAGCTCCTGGACGAAATTATGCTCTTTTTTCTTGTGCCTCAACCTGGAGGAATCTGCTAAATATATGTTTGACAGACAAAGACAAAACAGGAAATAATATACAAAAAGGCAAAACAGGGGCTGGATTTGCAAAAGATTTACAAGTACAACCTGTGACGAGCTCAAAATTAAAATTTTGAAGATTGGCAGGTTGGCTCCTTTGAAATCCACTTAAAAATTTTAATAAACTCACCATCTCGAGATAATACACTCAGACGTCCCATCCACGTCACGTTCTTAGCTGTTTTCTGAAGAGTAAAAAAAAAAGTTAGATTGGACCCTGGCAATTACCCGATTGATCTGAGGTCACGTCTGAGAAAGAATGCCGTTGACTAGAGATACGACATAAGAGAGACTAAACAAATTGAGAAGCACATGAGTTCAAGGTCTAGGAGAAATTGAAAGTGAAAGTTAAGGCCTCATACCCGGTGCACCATAGCTTGTGGCCGCAGTTGGTTTGAGTAAATTACTCATTCGCGAGCTTTGTCGGTCTTTGAGGAAATTATTTGTACTTCTTTATTCCACATTACGTTCAAAATATGATTAACTGTGCCAAAAATTTACCCGTTTGAAAAGCCAATTATATGCCAGGAAAAATCGCTTTAGCCAGGACACGCTAGTTTCAGAGCGCACACCGAAGGGCTTGAGTTTCTGTGAGTGGACAACATAGTGGTCAAACGTCTACACATATGCAAGCGTTGTAATATAAATAGGTAGCGTACTTTCAGGCTGTCAGAAGCGATTTGTCTCACACGAGATACAAAAAAACATACAAGCCAATGAATCACGGTGGTTTAAAAGTGCATAACGATTTTGGTGAATCAACAAGACGACCGTAATTGAATGGACTCTGTGTTGGAGTGACTGACCACCTCATGAATTACTGTCAATAAGTAATAAGGGAGCTTCCCCACTCATCTCTAACCTTGAACTTTTCCGGTTCACCAACCAAGGCCGGAAGTGTTAAGTCGTTGTTGTTCTTCGAGGATAAGGAAGGTTCAGTCTTCGGCCGTTTAATTTCTGGTGACCACAAGATAGATCGGATACGATCACCGGCAGCTAAAAATAGACGAAAGTAGACGAAATAACGTTGACATTAGCTGTCTCAGTTCTCGATTAGCACACGTAACAGGTGTATTCTCTGGTATGCGAGTTTAAGTTCAATTTAAGCAATTATATTGGATTAATAAGGTCGAGACCTAAATTTCTAGAGCAGCTAGAGAAGCTTACTAGGGGAGTAATGGTGGGAACGACGAGGCAGTGGGGGTGGGTGGCAGTTGGGCAGTAAAATTACTTTCACGTGCAATCAGGTGCAGTCAAGGGCACCAATCACAAAACACATACTTAATTGTACAAGAAGTAAATTTTTTGGTGCATTAAATCCTGCTGAACTCTTTCGAATCTGCTTCTCGTCACGTTAAGTTAACTCAAATTGAACTTTTGCTGTTATCGCGTGGCCGAAATGAAGCTCGAATTTGACTTTACATTGATAGCACTGTATCTGTGCGTTATGGGGGCTGGATTTCTGTATTTCTGCTATGTTACCAACATGTACCGTGGCTTAATGGAGGACCATCCAGGTGAGCAAATAGCTGACAGGCACCATCAGCAAAGAAATCGCAGGAGAAGAGCCAAGAGAGGAAGTGGAAGACAAAAAAGGGGAACTGATCGGCCTACAAGTGAAAACCTCACCGCCACTTCACCGCTGAGACAGCGCCCGAGGCCTCAGGAGAACGACGAGCCTTTTTGAAAGTACGAATTTAATTTTTTTCTTTACGACCTTAATCTGATCTTTTATTTTGAAAACTACATATTGGTTTTGTTTCCTTTTCGTTTTTTTAAGTACTATCGATATCGTGTGTATTCAAAGGAGAAACCATAAATTTCATGGTTGGGAAGCAAAAGGACAAAACAACGATCAAATTCATCACTTTGTCAAATGAAGAGCAGCGCGCTTGGGTATAATGGCATACAGAGCGGAACCTTTTTTTCAGAGTTAAAGCAAGGTCGATGAAAGATAATACGAGTTCCCATAGAATTACGATCAGTTTATCGCAAGAAGAATGTTTAAATTACAATCAAAATATACGCAACGGTTAAAGACCGAACGCTTGTCAAATGAAAATGCTATTACTAAAATCTTTAGCTTTCTCTTCTAAGTTACTTTTCTTTTTTCTTAGGCACGCTTCGAATTAAAAGTGCAAGTCGACGATCAATGGACTAAAGAGAAC